TTTTTCCTACTATTGCACGAAGTCTTCACGGTTTGAGGTAAGGTGACTAGAATTTGGGTTTTGTAGTCTTGGCGTTAATGTAAGATTTTATCGAACTCTCGAAAGAACGCCACAAAACAAGTGTGGGTGATAGGGTCAAGAGGAAGGGCACAAAAGCCAAAGAGCTCCAAGCATGAGTATTGCGGTGGATGTTATTGGTGTGAGTGGACTGGCTAGTTATTGCCACGCATTCGGTTTGTTTGTTTTTTCGACCCACGAACGCCAGGGGATCGTGGCTGGACTGGCTAAGGAAAGGTTCGACCCGAACGTTATGCTTTTGATTGCGATGTAGCTTGCTGCTATCTGTCATGGCGCAGTTATTAGGATAATAGCATCGAGTGTGAATGACCCGTTAAGAATTCTCCAGAAACTCGTGCCTAGTAGTCAGTCTTATATTTTAGCCAAATTTGCAAACAACAGCTCATTCAACTGCTGGCGATTATGGAGCGGCCCAATCCGAAGTCAAAGATGGGAAGACGGTGAGTTGGTTTTTTAGTCCGTAGGAGCGTGTTTTTGACAAGTAGTAAAGTTGATAACAAAAGCGAAGGCTTCGTAGATACAGCACTGAGATTGTTCATACAGTGCTCATACGCTCATCTTCGAGGACCGTTTTTGCTATGGGTGAGATGGCTGCAGTAGCGGTCAACCTCACCCAAAAGTGCACGGGAGCGGTTGTGATATCCGGCGCTGTCTCCCACTGCTAGCGATGCCGCACTACTAGCCACTTGCGTAATCGTAACCAAACGCTCCATTACTGGCTGCTCTCTTCCGGTAAGTACGTGCTTCGCTGCGGGATCTTGACAGGATGCAAATGCTGCATACTGGATACAACGCGGGCGGAGTGTGAAGGCGGCATCCGGGTATCTACCACCCCTCCGTATTGAGGGAAAAAATGAAACGCTTCTGCAGCTGCGGACCCATTCATCATGGGTAAATACGTCTAGTATGAAAGATTACTGGACCGATGAGCAGTAGCTGAGTGGCGCCCGTCCCAATCAAGAATGCCGATTTAACGCCCATCCAAAAAGGGTCATGCTGACCAACGCGCCCACCGCAACTACCCGCCCACAAATAGAAGCACAGCCACAGCGATGCTGATACACTTATTGCTTCATCACGGCTACACTTGGAGTTGCGGTGCTGCATGGATATTTGAATACACACATTATGATCCTTAGAAACGATAAAGCAGGTGGCGGAGGGGTGGCTTGGAGTGTAGCCAGGGCTGATTTCTTACAGTTGCAAGGTTTTTTTGGGGGGGCCTACTACTGATAGTTGAAGAGCGAGTGTGTCACTACAATATAAAGAAAAAGAATCGCGAATTAGTAGATAGAAGAACAAGTCTTTTTACCTTGGGAGGTCTTATACATTCAGAATAGAGGAGATATTCAATTGTGTCTCCTAAACTGTTACTTCTATAGCTAATATAGTTTCCCGAAAGGGAATAAACCGTAGTTTCAGACATTTGAGAGTCAAGGGAATAAACCGTAGTTTTTCAGAGCAGTTTGAGAGTAGCTCACGAGTCAACACGTTTGAAAAGAGGGGATGTTTCGAGAAGCCAAGGAAAGGAATGATATGTATATGCGGTCTTCATCATAAGCACGTTACAAGCTTGTTTTTCAGAATGGTGACGAGCTTCTCTCCACAATTGAGAGTTTCGCAAAAGAAGGAATTAAACATTACAAGAAGTAAGTTTCAGAGCTCCGTACGAGTAGAGTTCTCGTCAATATACTTTTTCAATCGTTTTTTGAAGATGTGTCCGAATCATCAACATCGCATAATGTTGTAAGTGTACTGTGCCTGATGGGAAATGTATGATTGTTGACCCCTTCAACCTGGACCGAATTAGCGTGAAGCGTCGGTCTCTCGTACGTACCGTCTCGTGGCATACTGCAAGGCGCATTTCACTCGCAAGGGACAATTCTATGTGGGGAAAGGTGGTAGTATGGGCCAAAGTGGATAAACTTGTGCCAGTTCCGCAACAGAAAGTTGTTAGGTTAAGGCATTAAAGAGCACGATTGCTCAGTTGGCTCCAAGTGGGCACAATTGACGCCGTCCCGCGTTGCTGTCTGTCGCCTTGCTCATTCCTAATTCCATCGTGTCCAGTCAACGGAGGATAATGTTTTTTTTTTTCTCATTGGAATTATGGCGTGTTACCTGTTACCTGCAGTTTTGGAGCGGTGCACTCGTTTTTGAAGATATTTGAACACACCCTTCAGCGCCTCAAGAATGAAAGGATAAAGGATAAAGTCTTCGCCGTTAATCAATCCCTTTGTGGGATGCGGCACGCATTCTACTTCCATTCAGAATCGTAGTGGCTTATTGAATGCGATGTGGCCTATACAATGACTTGCGGGGGCCGATGTACAAGTCAGTGTTTTATCCTCCCAGACGAATCTGGTACCAATTTACCGTCCCCGGAGGGTAGAAGGCTTGGTTGGCCTGGGCGGGTGTCGACCTGGGATTCGAACCCAGGACCGCGCGAGTGGTAAGCGCGCCACTTGTCACTACACCACCTCCGCCGCAGCCGCTGCATTATAGCTGACAACCGGAAGTTAAATAGTTTATAGTAGTGCTCTCGATCAATGAATCAGTCGCTATCTCGGAGAAAACATGCTCCAGATTTTTCTAGTGACAGATTCGAATATTGCAGGAGACTTACACGTGACGAGTACAAAGACGTGATGAGAGCGGTAGTTCGTGAATGTTACAAGAAAAGAATCCTGGATGAAACTCAAGTCAAGGAGAAGGTGAAAAAGTATGTGAAGGCTGTGAAAAATGGTGAACCGTTGCCGTATGGACATCACAGTGCGAAAAGAAAAGAAGGGCGCAATGGAAACGAAGCGCCCGCTTCATTCAAAAGGCCCAGAGTCGAATCCTGGTGATCTCCGGACATCCCTGGAACTCCTATGAGTGAATGGAGTCGTGATACCAATTTAGGTTGGTAATTATCTATCATGACTGAATAGCGGATTTTCAACTGTTCGTTATTTGTTTTCATCTGTTCTTACCAACATCAGTCCTCTCCATTCTTACCTTCTTCCTACCGCTCTTTCTTTTCCAATATCCTTCAGAATTCCAAAATAGTTTAGCATCGATGTGTCAGTAGTTCATCTTAAATATTACTGCCTTGCTGATACGGGGCGCACAAAAATGTTCAAGAAAAGAATCGAGCATTTACATGGATTTGGGTGGTGGTTCTCAGTTACTCATATTTACACCAAATACAGCACCGCAAAGGTTATTTGTTCAGTAACAGGTGTTTTAATGTTTTGTGATATAGCAATGTCATTTCGTCGAGCTTTCTCATTTTTACTTGGATATTCCGCAACCATTTTCGGTTGTGAGATCTGCAAGCTGCAGCGCTATCCAAAAATATCCATTATCACGTTTTGAAGCTGTTTTGTGCGCTATCACCAAAATAAACGTGTGAGTGCTGATAGGCTACGGCATAAAAGCCGTCAAGCTGAGAGGGTAAAAGCGGCCCTGGTGGCGTAACGGATAGCGCACTCGCCCGGAAAGCGTGAGGTGCGGGTTCGACTCCCGCCTGGGGCACGACTTTTGCCCACAACTCAGCATTCTTGTGATAACATTCGGAACGCGTACTGCGGCGTTAAACAGCAGTTATCATAACAAAAAAAAATCATTTTGAATGTTTTCATTTCTGATTGGTGG